AAACCCAAGAGAATTACAGGAGACGCTGGCCCTGAGTCTCCATCAGTAGTTCCCTACTTTCAGGCTTCGTGGTGAAAAGGAAACCCCCCATTTGTAGGTCGATGACGTAATCCCCAACAAATACATTTCCTCACCGAAGAAGACTTCCAAAGCTACTCCAACGGACACGGTGCTCTCCGGACATCTCTACCTCATTACCCTGACTCATTCCCATTGGTGCATGAACTCAAGTTACCTTGTTAACTTAGCGACCGTCTGTCTTCCCCTCCCAAGCCCCTAGAATATAGGTTCCATGAGAACAAGGACATCCTCCATCCTATTCACCACCTTGTCCCCGATGCCCAAATGATGCCCGTGACAAAGAACACACTCGGGGAGGATTTGGTTAATCTTCAACCTCAGCACTACCGAAATTTGAGGCTGGATCATCATCTCTTTCTCAGCCTTCCCCTGAGCGTGCCAGGATGCTTGTCAGCCTCCCTGGCCTCTGTCAACCAGATCCCAGGAGCACGCCCTTCCGTGCGACAACCAATGTCCCCTGTGCAAACCACCTGCTCGAGACCTGCAGGTTCACTGAATGAGTGAGAGAATGAATGAAGGAACGGCCCTCCCTAAGTGCACACAGACATGGCACCGTGCTGAGAGACACTGACCCAGGATCTCCGGGGGAAGTGCCACTTCGGAGACACAGCCATTTATTGTCGGGTCCAGTGGAAAATGGCCATCGCGCCAACATCTTTGCTCACTTGCTCTTGGACATAATTTGAGATGTGACGTGATGTGGCCTCAGGCTGGAAAAGGGTCTCGTTCTCAGGTCCCCCATCTCCGATGGGATCTCCACGGCTGCTCAGCTCAGAACATGTCTCCGTCTCTCCGTCTATGCTCCCAGGGCAGAGACAACTCCGGTTAAAGCCCGAAACCCTGCACTAACACGGCAATGCTCCAATCCCCAGGAAATTTCCACAGATGGAACGGGGAAGAAACACGCACCCTTGGCCAGGCCTGATTCCCGCAGCACGACTCATTAAATCAATTAAATCACTTGCTTGGCAGGATTATTTATGGAAATGGGAAATCGTGTTCCATCAGCTAAACACCGTCTTCAAACCGGCGGGTGAGCTGAGCTCATAGTCCCATAATTTGGGTGGACCGGATCTTGAATTCTGTGAAGCATCTCTAACTTTGGCCGGCACTCTCAGATCCGTCCAGTGTCTCACGTCTGCTCGTGGTCTTGCCGTATCTCCTTTTTCAGGTCCAGAAGGGAAGCACAGAGGGGCTCCATGCTGTGGCTGTGTTGCCAACTGAGCAAAAACAAAAACTTGAGAGTTTAACAGCAAATCCTATGCTGGGTCAAACACACAGAGGCCAGCATGGTGGGCCAGGAACGAGGATGAACAAAGCAGGCAGGGGAGGCTGGGGAAAACTGAACGGCCATGCGTCCCTGCAAGGGGATTGTGGCCACACAGAAGCAGAGACGGTGGTGCCAGAGCCTCTGGTTTCTTTCAAGAAAACTGTCAGAAATCTGGAATATTATGGGAAATTTGTGTACATTTGGTTTTAAACATTGGCAATGAACTTGGAACTGAAAACACAACATGTTTGCAGACCTTATCAGGGCATTGAGACCAACACTTATGACCTTCACCCTGTTTCTCCTCACACTCCTTATTCCTCAAGAGCAGCTTCGAGTGACTGCCTGCTTCTCATTTAGGGATTTGTTCTGCCCTCGGGGAAAAGAAGGAAGTCCCCAAGGAAAGGACAGACTGTATCAGAAAAGGAACGCGAGAGTTCTCCAAGCAACAGGCCCCACTTGGGACTCTAAGAATCAGAGTGGCTGCTCCTGACCTTGACAGGGGAACACAGTTCGGGCTAAATTGTTAGAACATCCACAAAACTACCTCCCGTTCGGGTTCCCAGTAAGCGCAGGGGCTGTTCCGAGCAGAGGAGGCGGGTACCGGCCCGGCAGACCCATCTGGGCGCCATCTGCCTCCCCAGCCCTGTGTCGGGGCTGGCTGTCCAACCCTCCGGAAGGCACCGCCCCATCGACCTGGAGCAGGCACCCCCTCCTCCTGTTGTAGGCACAAACAGGCCAAAAGCCCACTTGGGGAAAACCCTGAACAAGTGGTCAGCGCCTCAAAACCAAACGTCAGGCTGGAGTCGAGGATGCTGGGGCCGTGAGGACGTGCGCCATGGCGCGAGTGGTGTACATTCCCGGACGGTTCGCCCACCCGCCGACCAGCAACCCAGCGCAGCTGGGGGGGCGGGGGGGTGAGAACCACAGAGGCCTCTGTGCGGGACGAGGTTGCTGCCCTGCAAAGCGTGGTGGCCACGTGGGACGGAGCGGGAGGGCAGGGCGACCCCTGCAGGCCTGGGCACCGTGGTCTAACCTGCGAGGCCGGGAGGCGGGTGAGGATGGCATGTCTGGTGGTGGTATCAGTCCAGGGGGGATAAAATACGCCCAGCATCAAAGTGACCATCATAACGTGCGCGATGTGGCGATGTTAGGTGCGCTCATCACTGCTGGGTGGAGATCAGCGTGCTCCAGTCCCGTTTCCATCAGCCCGACAGACCCCGCAGCCATCACCCCCGTCCCCGCCCAGCCCCCCAACCACTACCCACCTCCTGCCTCCAAGGATCTGCGTCTCTGGACGGTTCACGCAGTAGGATTTTTCGTTCCCATTCAGTTCAGTTCAGTGGGTTGAGATTCTTACACTCATTTTCCAGATGTTACAGATACAGAGCGAAGTTCCAAGAGAATAGAAGGTTGGTCTGAAGACACGGACCGTGGGGGGCAGGGCCAGGGTTGGAGCGCAGGCCTCCCAAACTCCACCCAGGCATCCCTGGGACAGCAGTCCCGCCCTGTCCTCAGCTGGACAGCTGCCTGATCACGTGAGGCAGCCTTGGTCAGGCCGGCCTCTGGGGACAGAGGCCGAGCTGACCTCTCCCGGCCTGCCTGTCCCCAGCTCTGACCACGTCAGGGGCTCCCGTCCCCAGCGCCATGCTGTCCACCATGCCCCTGACACCCTGCCCTGACCAGGACGCCCCTGTGCTCACCGGGCGTGGGCCGACTCAGTGCCCTCCTGCCCCCGCTCCTCCGTCCCTCACTGAGCTCGGGATGCCTACATCGGACCCTCACAATCCTGCCCCGAAACCGCCTTTGAGGGTGGTACCTGTCGGACGGATTTCGGCTGCAGACCACAGACAGCCGGTCCTCCCCGATACTAACGGGTCAGGGCAGACCGCCGCTCGGCTGCGCGGTAGGCCTGCTCACTCCACCCTTACTGGCCGGCAGACAGCCCCGCCTGGGAGGAGCCGGCCTCCCGATAAACCACTCTGGTTTCCTATCTGACCCTCCATCCACGTCCCCGCACCTGGCTCCGTCCAGCCTCCTTTCCCCCCCCAGAAAAGAGAAACCCACTCTGCCCACCTCTGGGACGCCTGCCCACCGGCTCAGCGCCCTCCCTGCTGCCGAGGCCCTGCCGCTGCGCCAGCCGGAGTCCTGTCCAGTAGACGCCCTCCTTCCAGGACCAGCTTTGTTTCCTATTTGACACTTATCGCAAACTCGTCGTGTCACCCGCAACAAGAGAACTGTTAGGAAACGTCTCTGCCTCTCATGGTCCTCGTCTGAGTGGACGGCGCACACCCTACCCCTCTCCCGTGGTCACTCAGCGCCCACAGAACCCGAGCGGCCACCATCACCTTCCCCCCGCGCCGGAGGGAAACGCAAACCGAGGCTCGGGTCGTGGGAGCCACACCGCTCTGCCAGACTCGCGGTGGCAGGCGGGGCTGCCGACGATGAGACGTTTAAATCACGGCTGAGATTAAATGTGATGACCGTGCCAGGAGAGGGGCTCGGTCTGCCAAGATGAGGATTTGATGATGAAGCAGATCGCTGGCACGGCTGTGCTGGGCACAGGCCCACAGGCACCCACGGCCAGGCGTTTAGCCGGCGGGCTGGCTCAGCAGCGGGGGCGGCCTGGCGCTGTGGGAGCTGGGCCGCGGCTTCCGACACCACCCGCCCGCTGGAGCACCGCCTGCTGGCTGGCCCGGCACCACGTGGGGGCCAGGGACCAGATGGCGGCGTGGACTCCAGGCGCAGGGTGGGTGGGGCCGGGAGGGGCCCTGACAGGGAGAGGGGCGCAGGGAGCTAGCACCAGCCCACCGGCAGGTGCATGACGTGGGCTTTGTGACCTGGACGCTGTCGCGACTGGAGACCAGCTTCCAGATGAGATCCTCCTCGTGGAGAAAGAGAGGACACACCCTCCCCTCAGTGGGTCCCTGAATGCTCTTGAAGCGAAAACGTCCTTAGGGTCTTTCTCAGGTTATAAAATAACATGTGCATCGTCTCTGCACATTTCAGTTCGCAATGCTTCTCATAAACTAAGGGAAAATCAAGGGGACAGAGAATGTGTGTGAAAAGGTGATTATCGTGTCTTTGTTCCACACTGTTCTTTGCTGTTCATTTACTCGATGTCTGCTTCGCTTACTAATGCTCCCATGTGACTGGACATTGGGCTGAGGAGTCACCAGGAAGGAAGGGAAAGCTCCGGAAACATGGGACAGTTCGGACATGCAGAGGGAAATGTCTGAAAGCTAAGGAAGTCCCGTCATCCAGAGCGTAGGGTTCTGGCCATTCTCTGCCCACATTCACTCATGCACACGCTGCGCACTTTCCCTCCGGGGGTGTGTGAACTACCAGACTGCGATTCACGGATTCGAGCCTTCCGTGAACATCCAGTAAGCGTCAGGTCTGTGGGGCTCAGGCCCCGGGCACACATCCGTGGGTGAATTAAAACAGTGCCCCAAGGAAATTGCGATGCTAGAACCTCATTGCCGTGAGACTCGGCAGACTGAGCCCAAAGACCCAAACTACCACAGCCCCTGGGCTCGGTCAGCTGTCTGACATAATTCACGCTGAGGGAAGGACGCACACACTGCAGAAGGAATTAGACATCGGAAGAAGCCAAGCTCGTTTCCATGAGGCTTTCCTTCTGTTCCAGACACTGTTCCCAGCTCCCAACTCGGGCCGCAACATTACTCCCGCCGGGTCTCCTACGGCAGGCCCCTGCCCCCGCCTGGCGAGTCCTCCCACAACGGCACACGGTCCTTCCAGATCACGCTGCGGCCTTTGCTCTGCACCGTGGCGATTCACAAGGCCGGCCTCTACCTGCCTCCTCCCACGCACCTCTCTCCACTGCACCTCCCAGCCCTCTTTCCAGCACACCATTCGCTCCTGAGAGCAGGGAGCAGACGGAACATTCCAGAACACTCGGGAGCTCTCCCGGCAGCTCCCTCCCACTATCCAGATGCCATTCCCCAGACCTCCTGTGTACGGGGCCCCGCCAAGCCGCTGCGGTCTCCCCCGACATGCCTGTGTTCACAGCACCTGTCGCTATCTGGAGTGAGCCAGCCTGGTTCCCCGTCCACATGCTCCTTGCACTGGAAGCTCGTCTGTCCCGTTCACCGCGGCCCCGCACACGGACCCTCAGAACAGACGCAGTGAACGCACGAATGCACACGTCCCCGATAGCAGCCACGTGACTCGGGGAGCTCGCGTCCAAAGGGCAGTCATGCTCCCCTCCCATCGACCACCCCTCGGGGACCCTGAGCTGGAGGCTGTAACAGGAGGCTGTGAACGCCCAGGAAACACGGCCACAGGCAGGTGTCCCACAAAGGCGGGGCACTGAGCACCCCACATCCTGAAGAAAGATCCCGTAACAGGGCAAAGGCTTTCCTCAGGGCGCTCAGATGAGCGCAGAACCACTCTGCGGCCTGCAGACATCAGTCCTCCCCCCAAACCCCACTTCCAGCACTCAGTAGGACCGTCTCAACTTCTTGGACCGAGTGGAAGCTCAGCCCACTCCACACGCAGCCGCAGAATCCAGACAAAGGTTTTGTGGACCAGAGCGTGCACAGGGCACGCCGACGCGGACACATCCCCTCTCCCACCGTATGAAGCCTGCAGGTTATGACCGCGAAACTGAGTTCGTGGCTCCGGAACGGGCTGCGACCTGCGGTCTGAAAAGCCCTCGCAGCCGCTGCTCCTGATTTGGCCACCAAACCCCTCCACCCACATCCCTGCATCCCGTGCCCGCAGGTGGGTCGTGTGAGTTTTCCACGTTTCGGGACGAAGGACCACAGACACACGCGCAGCCCACGTGCATTTCTGGAGGCCAGACGTGCGGGCAGCTCGGCCGGGCTCTCTGCTCACCAAGGTGCTGGCCCGGCGGGCTCTTCCCAGGAGGCTGTGCGGGACAATCTGCGTCCAGTCCCATCCAGACTGTTGGCAGAATTCGGCTCCTGAGGACGGCCGGGCCGGGGCCCCATCTCCTGGCTGGCTGCCGGCAGGGGTCCCTGAGCAGCCCGAGGGGCCTTCCTGTCCTCTCTCGCCGTCCCTCACCTCCACCGTCCACGGCCGCATGTGCAATCCTCTGGGACCTGACTCTCGCCCACCCAGCCTCCTCCGCCCGCTGGTCCGACCCCATCAGACCAGACCAGACTTTCCTGCCGGACACTCTGCCCCCAGGTCCTCGGTGACACCACCTCGGATGCCATGTCATCCATGTCCACGTTCCGCGGAGCGGGATGGGGTCTCGTCGGGACACGTTTAGAGCTCTGCCAACCAGGACCCTGAGAGACCACGGCTCCAGGGCTCGTGGCCGTTCTGCCCGCAGGGGCAGGGGGCCCATTTCAGAATGTGGGAAGAAGAGGACGTACAGGCAGACTCTTCGTTTTGGTGATGCCTTGGGTGAGTGGAGCCAAGCCTGATGTCTTCTCCACCCCAATCTCGCTGCAGTCCCCCGTCCCCCTTACTGCTTACTCCAGTCTGGGAAGGGCTCTCATCTTTGCTGCCAGGCCACCCGCCCCCTGAATGAGATAACTGGACCAGTACCGTGTCCCAGGCTGGTCCTGGGGGCCCCACCATCAGTGGGCGCTCCAGTGCCGAGGAAGCCTCGAGGGCTGAGCGCCTGCTTCGGGCAGGATGTGGCTTACACATTGGGCACACAGGTCAGATGTCCCCACCGGGACTCCCAGAGCAGGTCTGCAGTGCGGGGAGAACCCCACAGCCCACAGGAAGCGGCCCCAGGGAGGTCTCTGTCCCCAGATGGGATGCTCTATGAATCACACGTGGCCCCCAGTGTCCCCAGTGAAAGGGAAAAAGCCTATGGGGCGTGCGTCTGTTGTCATCCATTGCACCTGTCCCCCCCTCAGCGGTCAGCTCTTCCCTCGGCTGCCGGCCCCTCTCCACAGGTCGGATTCGGTGTAAGGAGAGAGACCTCCAGGCCTCCAGCATTGGGGTTAACGCGTCCTCCGTAGACTTGTTTTCCTGCAGTAATTCCACAGGACCAGCAGAGCCTGTGACCTCTCCCGTCCGCAAGCGCGGGGACCGAAGCAGACTTTCCAGGGTGACGGCGAAGGTGTCAAGGGAACTGGGCTGGAGGCCTCATGGTGCCGGCTGCATGCCGACAAGCGGGGCATCGGCACCCTTCCTAAGAGGCCAGGAGAGGGGAATGGCCAGCAGGCCCGCTTTGCCGGAGAAGCTGCTCCTCAGTCAGGCCCACCCAGCTTTCAGGGGAGAAAAGCAACTCAGCAAGCACGCAGTGTGCCGCACACCCTGTTCAGATGTGGCCGGAAATTATTTTTAGGTAAACATTAGCTGGAAAATAAAGGCTCCCTAACAGTGTGAATGGTGCGTTATCCTCTGTGCCCCGCCCCCCACAGGTGGGGACAGCCGTGTCGGGAGCACGGCAGGGAGCCCGTGAAGCCTTCCCGAACATGTGGAAGCTTGGAAATATCCGGGAGATGTGGTCAGGGGGCTTGGAGGGGCCCGGGCGGGTGGGACGGGAGGCTGCCAAGTGAAAATGGGAATGCACTGTTGCTAAAGGTGCAGAAAGGGGGAAGCCTGCCACGTCGCCCCTCAAACACCCAGCAGTGAGAACACCCTGCACGCGCAGGGAGAGGAGACCAGGAGCGTCCACAGCTGGAAGCCCTAAGTCAATGGCCTCATGGGGCAGGTGAGAAGGCGGACAATCAGGTGCAGGTGTCCCCCCAGGCCCAGCTCTCAGGTGCTGCCCAGCCCCCTCCTCACGGTGCCCTGTTTCCGAGCCCCCGCCCCTGCTTCCCTCCCCTCCCACTGCGTTTTGGTAACCCAGCCTCTCAATCACCTGGTGTTGAACAACGAAGAATGAAGGGTGACTTGATGAGTAATTTGTTCTCCCTTTTATTTATTAAATTGTAATTAAAAACTGTTAAACGCACCTGGCCCTGATGCCCAGAGATAAATCTCACCGAGACCCTGGTGGTCTCCTTCCAGGCGAGGGTTCTCCCGCTTCCCCGCTCCTCAGCCGGGTGGCCTCCCCTCCCCTCGGTGATGCCCACCCAGGCTTTCCCCATCTCGCCCCCAGCACTGCTACGTGGGGGATTCCAGCAAAGACTTGTCCAAACTCCATAGCGTGGTCAATGTGATTCAGTTAGGTCTCCATGCCCGTGTTTAAATAGAACAGAGCGGACTAGGATGGAATGGAATGGGGGTTCATGGAATGACATAGAATAAATGAGGGGCTATTCTCATCTCCAGTTTATAGACAAGGACACAGACAGCAAATGTCACTCCATGGGCAGGCGCCTAAGACATGATTGAACCCAGAGCCGTCTCCCATGACCCTCAAGCTCACCCCAATATTTTTTTAGAGATGTGTTTATTTATTAGAGAGGGGGAGAGTGTGCAAGAGGGGGTCGGGGCAAAGAGAGAAGACATCTCTCGCAGACTCCCCACTGAGCACGGAGCCTGACGCGGGGCTCGATCCCATGACCCTGAGATCACGACCTGAGCCAAAACCGAGTCAGCCGCTAAACTGACTGAGCCACCCAGACGCCCCAACTCACCTCCATAGTTTTATCACAGCACTTCTCAGAACACACTTCTCTGCCTCCCCTTCCGGCCCAGAAACTCCATGTGACAGGACGTCATACTCTGGCAACAGTGGTCCCGTAGCCATTTGATTGATTGATAGAAGGAACGAATGAATAAAATGTGAAGAAAAGTGCAAAGCTATCTCAAAATTCCAACTCCGCTTTTTCTTGCAGCTTCAGTCGTGAAACAATCAGCACTCGCAGAAGCTCAGGTCCTGAGGGGACTCACATAATAATGCCTTTTTATCCCCCCCCCAAGAGGGCAGCTCACAGATGAAGTCACATGGGAATCACAGGTGTCTTAATGCATTTCCTGGAACTTTCTTTTTAAAGATAATTTAGACAATTGGGAAAAGTCTGAGTGAGCATGTGTGTGCACATACATACACATGAGCACATGCATGTGGACTTGCACACACAATGTGCACACACAGGCACACACACATGGGCACACATATGTACACACAAGCACACGCACACACAGACATACATGGGCACACGTGTACATGCATGTGCACACGTGCATGGGCACACATTTGCGCACAGGCACACACATGGGCACACATGTGTACGCGCGTGTGCACGCATGCATGGGCACACGGATATGCACGGGCACGCACATGCACATGCATGTGCCCACACATGCACTAATCCCGGCAGAGTCACCCAGGGAAATTAGGTCAGCCACAAACCAGGGGGCTGTTTATCACATAGGTGCTATTCTTTAAAAGCAACGGCCCCCAGTGCCCTAAAACCCAAGGGAGGGACAGCAGGGGGAGGACAGAGTGAGGTTCTGCATTACAACATTTGGAGGCCAAGTCCAGCCCCTTAAAGCAACAGGATCCAAATCAGTTCTACTTGGGCAGCTGCAGAATGAATTTGTTTTTTCAAGACCTTTGGGCCAAATAATAGCACAGCTTTCAATAATGGATCCTTGAGCTCAGTGGGCAGGACAGGTTCCAACTGAGTGCGTGACCTTATAATCAAAGAAGGGGAACAGAGCTGTCACTGCATGCCCCCTGTCCTGCCACATCTCCTTTCCCAGCCAAAGGCATTTCCTGCCACGCACACCCCTCAGCCCTGCTAGACGCACCTTCGACCCTCACACGCACACTTGAAGGGGGTCGGAAACTCTAAGATATGGTATTGCAGGCCAAAGACCCCCACAAAAAATCATGCGGCCTACAAGAGGTCCAGAGACAAAGCTTGGGTACCAGCTAATTTCAGCCAACAATCCGGTACAAGGAAGATCCATGATCCCAGCTCCCAAAACAGCTGCTCTTCATAAGCAGAGAAGAGGATGGGTGACTATTTGTATGATAACATGCAGCAAAACAGAATCTATAGCAAGTGGAGCTCTTTGAATGCTTTTGGGTAAATTCCAAAATTATTGCCACCAACACAACCAATAATGAAATAAGCAGGTATAGGATCAAGGAGCTGGAGCAAAAAATGGGTAGGAATGGGAGTGTGTGTGTGTCAGAGAGAGACGGAGAATGTGTGTATTCCCTTCTTTCTACTGGAATGCACAGAATTTCTCTTCAGCTATTACTCTCCTCCTGTAAGGACCACTGGTTAACAGGAAAGGCTCTGGAATCAGATGGTCTAGATTAGAACTTGGACTCCCCCCACCCCCCAGTTACAAGTTTGGACAATTTACTTGATTTCTTGGCACCTCCATTTCCTCCACCCATACAATCAGAATTAATAACAGGGCTTTGTGGAAATTCAGTAAAGTAAAGAATTCAAAGAGCTTAGGGCAGGAACGGGCTCCTTCCTGGTGGAGAGCATTACGGTCACCTGCTTCCCCTTTTCCCTGGGCCGGGATGATGAGACTGGGTTTCCCGCAATGCACTCGTGTCCGTAAAAAGCTGCCTCATTACCTATGCCCAGAGGAGTCCGCTCTAATAGGATCTTCCGTAATGCTTGCAGGTCACTGGGTCACCATGGTGGGCGCAGGCGGCACCGTCTGCTCAGAAGCCTAAAACTGTGGCCACAGATACCAGGGTGTCCGACTCCGAGCCACCAACAAGGAGTACGACGCTCGCCTCTCACGCCCCCTCCACCTGCCGTCTGCAATGACCATCATCATCGCACAGGTGTTCCTCGCTGCCCCAGACGTGTTCGGGGCACCGTTCACTTACTACACAGGCCACTCAAGAACCCTTAATTCACTAATGAGAAAATTATTCTAACATTGGGGCTCGAAAATTGCCTTTAGAATTCAGGCAGGAAAGGCATTTTTAGAGGATCATTGTTTTTAAAGCACGGAGTGTGGTCCCGTTGCCATGTGGCATCCCCTCCTGGAGCCACTCCCCGCCCCGTGGTCCCTGAGGCTTGGGGAGGGCGGACCCTGAGCCGCTGAGCCGGCCTGGGGTCTGCAGCCTGGCTCCGCCCAGGGCTGGGGCAGATCCCCGTGTGATCGGGATCTGAGGAGGATTAGCCCCCACGTGACCCGCTCCCTCCCACCACGGCGTCCACAAACAAGCCACCTCCTGCTGCCTGCTCAGAGCTCACTGTGTTTGCTCACATCCTGAATAAGGCTCAGCCACTTCAATGTGTGTTTCTAAGTGGACTCCCAGGGGAGGAGAAAGAAAAATAAAACAGCACCCCATGACGGGCAGTCTGGGATCTGCAGGGAGGGGGGCGGGTAGGGAGAGAGATCTGGATGCAGGAGGGAAATCAGCCCAAATCCCACAGGGACTCCTCACCCAGTGCAGAGGCCTGGGCCCCCCTCGACCTCCCACTCTCTGGAGGAGGAAGGTGTCCCTGTGTCACACACTGGGGAAGTCACCAGCTCCGAGTCCTCAGCAATGTCTCCCTTTCCCCACCCAAAATTCTCCGGGCTGAGCTCCTGCATCTGCGTTGAGCCGCAAGTCAGGGGGATGCAGCCCGTGGCCACATGGATGCTCCCCCACAGCAGGACCGCCCGAGAGGACCCGGGGGGGCCGGGAGGCGGAGGGGAGGGGCAACGGCCCCTCCAGGCTCCTGATCACACCAGCCCCTTCCCACGGGCTTTCAGAAAGGCTGAGCCCCAGCCTCTTGCTTGAAAAAACAAACAAATGCACCCACAAATGGCAGTTTTTAAACCCAGAAGAAATCTGCCCTGTGGTGCTTTCCATTTTCCAACGTTCCTTCAGAAAGAATTCCCCAGGGAAGTCTCAGGAATCTGCCCACCTGCCTCCACCCACACAGCTCCCTAGCTCGGTTTCCCAGAGTGGGGGCTGCCCACCAGACAGGCCTGGGGGTGCAGCCCAGGGGAGCATGAAGATTCCCGGGCCTGGGCTCGAAGCCCAGCATGGCAGCTTTCTGGCTGCGTGCCCTCAGGCTGGGCCTTGTCTCCGTGCCCCAGGCCTCAGTCTGCAGGGCAGCCATCGTAGAAACGCCTACTGTGTGGGCTTCCCAGGGCCTCCACCAACTACAACAACTCAGGGGCTTAAACCCACAGAAACGGGGCACCTGTGTGGCTCAGTCGGTTAAGCGGCTGCCTTCGGCTCAGGTCATGATCCTGGAGTCCCGGGATCGAGTCCCGCATCGGGCTCCCTGCTCGGCGGGGAGTCTGCTTCTCCCTCTCACCCTCCCCCTTCTCATGTTCTCTCTATCTCATTTTCTCTCTCAAATAAATAGATAAAATCTTTAAAAAAAAAAAAAAAAACCCACAGAAACGCATCCTTTCCTGGTCTGGCGGCCAGACGTCTGAAACCAAGGCGTCCGGGGCTGTGAGGGGAGGATCCTCCCTGGTTCTGGCACAGTCTGGTC